TGAGCAAACGCACCCAACCTGATTTTTTTAATCTTACCCAAATTCCTACCTAAGGGGTCTAGGGAGTCATGCCCTACAAACCATAAATTCTTATTAGGTGGGTTTTATTTGACCCTATATATTGTGATTTACTTTTCAATCTGACTCTGGCCTAACATTATGAGACAAGGAAGAAATGTTTAACACCAAAATATATTTCTTTGCCATACCTTAAAATTGTCCTGCAAAGCCTGTTGTAGGAATAATCCATATTCTATAGCGAATCCCCTTCCCACTTTGTTTTCCTTCCTTCCCAAATCCAAGAGATAATCAACTATGAGCCAGACACCCTTTTAAGTCCAATAAAAAACAATTTACAACCTGCTCTCTCTGAAGTCTGCTATCTAAGAGCTTCCTCTGCACAGTAAAACTTGGTCTCTACAATCTTTTATCTTTAACCTGAGCATTCCTTTCTGTCAATCCCAGGTCTTCAGACAACCTCAACCAATTGTCAACCAGAAAATGTTTAAATTTACCTATAGCCTGGAAGTCCCCACTTTGAGTTGTCCTGCTTTTCTAAACCAAACAAATGTATTTCTTAAATGTATTTGATTGATGTCTCATGCCTTCCTAAAATACATAAAACCAAGCTGTAACCCAACCACCTTGGGCACATGTTCTCAGGACCTCCCGAGGGCTGTGTCATGGGGCCATGGTCACTCATATTTGGGTCAGTATAAATCGCCTCATATTTTACAGAGTTTGACTCTTTTTGTCAACAATCATCTGGCACCCATTCGTGGGGCCTCAGAGAAGACTCAGGGTCATACTATACACTTAAAAATGGTTAAGATGGCCAGGCACGGTGGCTCACACCTGTAATTCTAGCACTTTGGGAGGCTGAGGTGGGTGGAGCACTTGAGGTCAGGAGTTCAAGACCAGCGTGGGCTAACATCGTGAAACCCCCTCTCTACTAAAAATACAATAGCCAGGCATGGTGGTGCAGGCCTGTAATCCCAGCTACTCAGGAGGCTGAGACATGAGAATCGTTTGAACCCAGGAGGCAGAGGTTGCAGTAAGCCACTGTACTCCAGTCTGGGAGACAGAGCAAGGCTCTGTCTCAAAATAAAAGAAGAAAAAAAATAATTAAGTTGATAAATTGTGTTATGCGTTTTTAACACAATAAAAAATAAATTATTAATTGAAAACAATGTAAATACCCACCAGCAGGGAATTGGTCATGCTACAGCTATACAATAAAGTAGCCATCAAAAATGATAATACTGATACCTATTCAGTTATACCCATAGCCCATTCTTGCAAGTTTTTTCAATATAAAAAAAGCAAAGCATTATATCATAAAACATGTGTCCATATCTGTAACTAAAGACAGAGGTATGTGTAAACAGTGGCATCTCTAGGTAATAGGATTGCAGATGACCTTTACTTTCTTTTTTATATTTTCTTGTGTGGACTAAGTATTAAGTACATGGCAAAAGATGGCTTAAAAGAGGAAGTGACTGCCACCATTGGCTCCAGAATCCTGGGATGGAATTTTGTTTCCCTCATCACTATGTGTCTGGCACATGTTGAAGGATTAATAAAAATTTGAGAGGCAAAATGAACAGTCGTTAAGAGTTCAGGAATCAAGACAGGCCTGGATATGAATCTCAATTCATATTTATTGAAAAGGGGCCTCAGACTTTAAAGCTCTTTTTTTTGGTTGGTTGGTTGGTTTGTTTGCTTGTTTGAGATAGAGTCTCCTGTGTTGCCCCAGGCTGGAGTGCAGTGGCTCAATCACAGCTCATTGCAGCTTTGACCTCCTAGGTCCCAGCGATTCCCTCACCTGAGCCTCCTGTGTAGCTGGACCACAGCTATGCACCACCAAGCCCAGCTAATTTTATTTTTTGTAGAGACCGAGATTTCCTATGTTGCCCAGGCTGGTCTAGAACTGCTAGACTCAAGTGATTCTCTTGCCTTGACATCTCAAAGTGCTGGGATTACAGGTGTGAGCCACCAGGTCAGACCTCTACAATTCTTATTTAACTTCATTGAGCCTCACTTTTTTCAACTATAAAAATGTCAAGAAGACTTAACAGATTGTTGCAAGGAAAATGTACTTATCACACAAAACATCATTTCTGGCTCAAATGAAACTCAGTAAAATGATGGCCATCATTACTGTTTAGTGACTCGATTTACACTGAAGAACTCCCGACACAAACAAATAAAAAAAAACTAAGCATCTACAAAAGACTGCATTGCTAAATTATCACTGAATATCCTAATTGCATTAAAAAGCAAGAGACAACACTTTGCCTGGTAGATCTACAAAAATGTCTTGCTGCAAGGTATGGTTACATTCCTATATCTAGCAGGATTACACTATAAAATTTACCATCTACTTTGTATATAAACATCACTCATGAGTATTGGACACAGATTTATTAGTGCTTTAGTAAAAATAATGCAAAGAGGAAAACGTGCTTGTTTTAATCCAAAGGTAGAATGTAAAGAGAATGTAAACATACAAAATGTGACTAAAGACTTCACTTAGAGAGAGATAAAAAGAGTAAGTGACATTACAATTTTGTTTAGCCTCTCTCTTCCTCACAACTTTTGGACAAGGCGCCTGTCTTTTTAGGCACTGCTCTACCCACAAAGTCTATACAGTGTAAGCGCTCATACCATAAATACAAGAGGATTTATAAGAGAAAATCTCAGTAAAATCATGGAGTAAACTGAATTAGAATTTATCTGAGAAAGTCTCAGTCAAAATAATAAAGGTAAGAGTTTAAGAATAAAGGGCACACGCATAGGGAGGGAAAAAGTCTTTTCTGTAACTTGCATCTCCTTTATTCAATAAGTTTTCCTGGGGACCTTATACAGTCACCCTTGAACTCTGAAGGAGGCATAATCCAGGGCCTGACCGTGCTAAGATTATTAGGCTGTGGGTTCCTTAACCCTTTTAGTGATGCCTTTATTCATCGGTGTATTATAGTTGGCACCCTGTGGTCACGTTTTTTGTTTTTGATTTTGTTTTGAGATGGAGTCTCGCTCTGTCACCCAGGCAGGAGTGCAGTGGCGCGATTCTCAAGTTCAAGCGATTCTCCTGCCTCAGCCTCCCATGTAGCTGTGACTACAGATCCCTGCCACCACGTCCGCTAATGTGTGTGTGTGTTTTTTTGGTAGACACAGGGTTTCACCATGTTGCCCAGGCTGATCTCGAACTCCTGACCTCAAGTAATCCGCCCGCCTCGGCCTCCCAAAGTACTAGGATTACAGGCCTGAGCCACCGCGCCTGTCCGCCACTCGTTTAATAAATGGTCGTTATTCAAAGAACGGTGATGGGGCCACTCTTGATTATCAATCCTAAAAACAGAAAAGCCCTTTTATGTGACTTTTTTCCTTCAAAGCTGACTTTAGAAGTGTGTTTGGGGCCGGGCGCGGTGGCTCACGCCTGTAACCCAGCACTTTGGGAGGCCAAGGTGGGCAGATCACGAGGTCAGGAGATCGAGATCATCCTGGCTAACGCGGTGAAACCCCGTCTCTACTAAAAATACAAAAAAATTAGCCAGGCGTGGTGGCGCACGCCTGTAATCCCAGTACTCGGGAGGCTGAGACAGGAGAATGGCGTGAACCCGGGAGGCGAAGGTTGCAGTGAGCCGAGATCTCGCCACTGCACTCCATCCTGGCGACAGAGCAAGACTTCGTCTCAAAAGAAAAAAAAAAAAAAGTGTGTCTGTAAATGTGGGAGTAGTTAGTTCAGAACTTCGGAGCCCTGTCTTTACAGTTCGAACTGACCACGCGAAGACTAAAGGCATTAGAGGTACTTTCTACAAATTTAGCCGTGCAATCTAAGAGCCAGCAGGCCGAGACGCCCGGGATTGAAGGCCGGGGTGGAGACAGTATGAGGGCCCTGGGAATTACCCCCATCCCATGTCACCCACTCTTTCTTAAAATGCCATTAAATTCCGTTCAACTTTTTATCTCCCATGCAAGAAACTAGCGACTTGCCCGCCACGCCACTTCCAAACAGTCACACCTGCCGTATTCGCCGCAGCATCTCCAACTCCCGCCACGGGTTTGGGACGTGTCCGCCCCTAAGCGGAAGTGACGTTCAACGGGACTACGTGAAAGTAGACGAGTTCAAATACGTACTAATAATTTAAAACCCGTATGGTGTTTTGAGGAAACTCTTCTGCTTACCCTTCTTCCATCATTTCTCTCCTGCTAGGGTTGCGAAAAGGGCTCAGTATAGCCTCGCGACAACTCGTTCTCCTCCCTAATTCCAAGTCATTCAAAACTCTGTCCCTTTTCATTGGCTGAGGCGGCGGCATGGGTACCTCTCAGGAACTACAATTCCAGCCAACCACCGCGACAGGTGAACGGAGGAGAGGGTATGAGCAGGGGAAAAGCGTATTGGGAATTGTAGTCCACTCCAGGTCGAAAAGAGCACTGACCCGCCCTCCGCCACTGACGCTGGAGAAACCAGGTGTTCGTTTCAGAACCCGTTAGCGCTAAGGGGAGGAGCCAAGCCCTTAAGCAGCATGCCTCACTTCGCCCCACATGGAGGATAATTTTCCTTTACCCCTAAAAAGCACTATGAATACCCCCTGAGGAAATATGGTTGTCTTTTAAATACCTCGAGTCAGTAAAAACTCACGAAACTCCCTCACCTCAGGATCCAACTCGTGGGAAAAGGTAGCTCTTTTACAAGTGGGCAAAATGGCTGTCCTCCTAGTTTTACCATTGGTTGGCTTTTGCGCCCTTCAAGGGCGGTTACTTATCACGGATTGGTTCTTTTTCTCTTGAGGTTGGAGGAAGATTTGGCACGGCTCTCCGAGGCCTGGGAGGAGGTAAAGGGGTGGAGAGAAGGCAGTTTTTTCAAGCGTGATTGGGCAACACCCATGTCACTCCGGGGACGTACAACCTATGAGTAGTCGGCTGCCGCTCAAAGAGAACGAAGAGGCGGGGCTAGTGCGTGGTGGGAAGGGGCGGGATTCTGCCAGCCGCGGCTGCCGCTGGAGCCGGTGTCCGGGCTGGTGATGGGGTTAATTCCCTTTCGTAAGACTCTTACTTGCACCCACCCAGCCCCGCCGTCGCCCCGCCGCGCCGCGCTCCAACCGCCTCCTCCTCCTCAGTAACGCGGGTAAGAGATGCCCTCCCCTCCCCCGTCCAGCTCCCCGGGAATAACGCGCCTCGCTCCCCTCCCCCGCCCGCCAACCGGTAGCGCTAACGGAGGAGGCAGGCAGGGGAGAGATGCGGTGTGTGAGAAGGTGGCCTTCCCCGCCGCGTCGTCGGCGCTCCAGCCAGGGCCTTCCGACGTCCCGCTGCTGCCAGCCCGCCGTTAGGTCGGGTTCCGAGTGAGCCAGTCTCGCCTGGCCCGCGGCTGCGGCTGCGGCTGCAGCTGCAGCCACTACCTTGTGCCCACCGCCCCCACTCGGGGGCCATGTGAAAAACAAACCCCTCGAGGCCTAGCGGAGGAGGCAGGGGAAAGGTTCCCGAGTCCCTGCCATGGCTGCTGCTGCCTCCGCGGCTGCTCTTGCAGCCCCAGGGACTCGGGAGCCAGCCACAGCAGGCCTGCCAGGAGCGTGGTGCTGCTCTCTCGGGTGGCTGGCGCCGGTGCCCCGGGCTCCCACGGCCGCATCCCCTGGCCTTGCACCAAGAGAATTTTCAGCTTCGACCGGTTGGTGAAATGTAGGTACATTTTCCCTGTGGTATCAGCAAAAGCACAATGGGAATATTAAAAAGAAAGTTGAATGACTGTCAGTGTCACGGTCCCCCGGGATCTGATTTACACACGTTTTGATGACTGAGCCTTAGGCTGCCAACAAATCTTTGTGTGCTTTGAAGTTTTTTGGTGTTTTGTTTTGTTGTTGTGACTAGGTCCAAAGGATGCCTCTGTTGAGCTTGTTTTTATAAAGAAACTTAAATTATTGGGACTATCATGCTCCGTGTGTAATTGTCCTGGGATAGTAAGTTAACTAAGTAAAAGGTGAAGAGGTGCTTTCCAAATTAGGATTCGTGAACAGCAAATGGTTTTTCTAATAAAATTTTCTAAATATATGTATCTTCATGGTTATAGTTTACCTAATTGTAACTTTAAGAAACCCTTTTTAGCTTAAATGTCATTGATGACAAAAACTTTTAAATGAAAAGATGGTTAAAGTCAAACTGGAAGTCTACCCATTTATAATATTTGAAACAAGATCTTCTAAGTATTTAGTAGGATACCAGTCTGACAGGAATAATTGGACACGTCTCAATTTCTAAAAATTTGGCATATTTGGCTATTTTTAGGGCATTCTGTTATGATTTCCTCATCACGTTTTGATCAAGTGCTTGTCTTTTCAAATACCACTCTGCTTTTATGCCTGGAAGAATATGTCTTTAAATCATGGATTCTATAGTCTGTAGTAGACATACCTGTGATCAGAGTTAAAATTCTAGGCTCATTTCTGAGGTTTACTTGTTGGCAGAATAAACCTGGGTTCTGAAGAAATATCTGAGTTTTGATCATTTCTTCAGGGTCTGAGAAGACTATGGTGGCTTAATGGTCTTCTATATTCCATAATTAGTACACCTGGATACAGGATTGACATAGATATGTTCGGGTCCTGGAGGAAATTTGGGTATCTATTAAGAAATGAAAATTGCCAGCCATATAGTAGTCACCTGTAGTCCCTGCTACTCAGGAGTATGAGGTGAGAGGATCACTTGAGCCCAGGAGTTCAAGGCCAGCCTAGGCAGTATAGCAGAACATCATCTCAAAAAAATAAATAGATAGCCTTAAAAGGTAAGTCCCCTGAGATCCCCCACAAAGTTCCTGTAACATATATTGCCAGCTGCCAGCATAGTATTTTCCAAAACTTAAGAGTTAATTGATAAATTATACAATTGATACTTTCAGATCTTGAGTGATTTATATAGAGAAAAGACTGTTGAAAATTTAGGAGTCGTCTACATTTTCTTCCTGGCTGTTGGATCCCTCCATGAACCTCAGTTCGGTTTCCTCATCTGTAAAATGAGGATGATGATGCTTAACTTAAGAAGTTATGAAAATTAGAGATAAATATATAGTAACGGCTGGGCACAGTGGCTCACACCTGTAATCCTAGCACTTTGGGAGGCTGAGGCAGGCGGATCACCTGAGATCGGGAGTTGGAGACCAGCCTGACCAACATGGAGAAACCCTGTCTCTACTAAAAATACAAAAAATTAGTTGCGTTTGGTGGTGGGCACCTGTAATCTCAGCTACTCAGGAGGCTGAGGCAGGAGAATTGCTTAACCAGGGAGGCAGTGGTGAGTGGAGATCAGGCCATTGAACTCCAGCCTGGGCAACAAGAGTGAAACTCCATCTTAAAAACAAAGAAAACAGAAAATTAGAGATAAAGTATGTAAATCCCCTAGCATTGAGCCTGACACAGTTTGTGCAATTAAATATTAACTGTTATTATTTTCATGCATATTTAGAGAATGGGATTGTTGTTCCTATACTGAGGGTGGTGTTGCAGCCTTCGAACACATTCTGTTACTGAAGAGTACCATAGGCATATTAATTTGTATAGTGACTTAAGCACAGTTTGCGGCTATTTTTGATTCCCTTATGGAAGTTTTTTTGACTTTGAATTAAAATACAAGTATCTGTGGAATATATTTCAAATGGATTATTGGGAATAATAATTAGTGTACTCCATGTAGTGGTTAGCTATTGTAATATCTTTTAAATTTTATTTAGCTGATACATGTTTCAAGCTCTAGTTTATATACATGCTATCCATATTCATTGTGCTACCAGGCGACATTTGAACTATTTAATACACAGTTAAGATTAAGCAAATCATTTGAAATTGTTATGACCATATGTGACTACAGTTTTGTTGCTGTTTTTTAATTCTCCTTATTTATCAACACTTGAGTGTTCCTTTTCTGTGAAACAACTCGTGAGAGATGCTATTCCTTTCTCTTCCTAGGCATTTCTGAAAATTTACTGACTCTTCACACATAATAGTGTTCTTAGAATTTCTATAGTTAAACAAATTTAAGGTTAGCATGAAGATGGTTATGTTACAAAGTCTTTTCTGACAGGAATGCACAGTCAGAGTTCAAAACAAGCTGCACCTTAAGCAAAATAATGAGCTGCGGTATATACGGTGGGCCTCCCAAGTCATTGGACCTCGTACAAATGGGTGCTCCTCCAAGGAGGTGTTACATGATAGTAGCAATAGAAAATTATATAAACTTGAAATGAGCTTTGTCAAATATTATGCAGAAGATGTGCATTGCCATGCATTGCAAGTAATAGGTTTTTTTTTTTCTTTTTTTGAACTGGTACTTTAGTATACCTAATTTCATCCATTTGAGTTAGTATTAAGTTTTAATTTCTCAGCAATAAAGTAGTGAAAATTGGTAGCAGTTTTGTTTTTCCCATTCTTGGAAAATGTTACAGTGATGAACAAGGCTTGATAGGTTTGTAAAATACTATTGCTATTTGAATTAGAAAATGTCACTATTGACTTTCCATATTCTGTTGTAAATAAGTTGGGGAATTAGTGTGTCAAGGAGGCGTGGTAACAAATGGTAATGTAATTTTCAAATAGCTATTGCAGCACCAAACCGCAGAATCAATACTCTGTCTTTATAACCACATTTGCATATAGGGATAATTTATTTCTTATAACTTAAGATAACTAAAATGAAGGGCCGGGCGGGGTGGTTCACGCCTGTAATCCCAGCACTTTGGGAGGCCGAGACAGGCAGATCAGAAGGTCAGCAGTTTGAGACCAGCCTGGCCAGTATGGTGAAACCCGATCTCTACTAAAAATACAAAAATTAGTAGGGCGTGTCGGTGGGCGCCTGTAGTCCCAGCTACTTGGGAAGCTGAGTCAGGAGAATCGCTTGAACCTGGGAGGCGGAGGTTGCGGTGAGCCGAGATTGCGCCACTGCACTCCAGCCTGGCGACAGAGCAAGACTTTGTCTCAAAAATAAATAAATAAATAAATAAATAAATAAATAAATAAATAAAATGGAATGAGATAGCTATTGTGAAGAGAAGGAAGTCAGTTTTTTCTCTGTATAATTGTAAACTTTAAAAAAAAATCATCTTAAGGCTTAATCCTTAAGACTTCCTGTACTGTTTAATAATATGGACATGTGCAAAGAATTAAATCATATAATTAAACAAAATTTTGTCACGTTAACTTTTCTTCTCAAATAAGGAAGTTATATAATTAAACACATTTGCTTGTACCTAATAAGACATTAGTGTCCTCATGAAGGTATGTCATTTCCAGAATTTAATTCAATTAGTTATTGGCTGAGGGTTGAAATAGAGATGAAACTAAATCCTGGCCCAAAGCTAGTTTTATACCTTATTTTCCAGCAATTTGTTTTTTTATATCTAGGTTTTATCTTTAATATTTTGCCTCATCTTACCCATTCTTAGTCTCCATACACACATATTAACTTAAATTTCTTTTTCTGAGAATTTTGAAAACCTATAGTTTATGATCTTTGTTCCCTCTTTGACTTGTGAATTTTATATTTGTGAGTTTTTTCCAAATTTCTACCTGTCAGCTCACTTCTTTAGGAAAGTTGTAAGGTTTTTGAGCCACCTCATTTCATTTTTTATTTTTTTAAGAGACAGGTTTCACCCTGTCACCCAGACTGGAGTGCAGCGACAGGATCATAGCTTACCACAGCCTTAAACTCTGAGGCTCAAGTGAGCCTCCCATCTTATGCTCCCAAGTAACTAGGACTACAAGCTTGTCACTAGGACTACAGGCACATGGCTAATTTTTTAATTTAGTAGAGACAGGTTCTTACTGTGTTACCCAGGCTGGTCTCCCACCTCCTGGGCTCAAGCGATGCTCCTGCCTTGGCCTGCCAAAGTGCTGGAATTACGGGCATAAGCCACTGCACCCAGCCTGTTTCATGAATAGTAGATTGCACAGCATGTTTAAGTGATGTTTGCTTTACTAAAGTTTTTATCTACAACTCCCTATAATGACTTCGTCTGACAAAGAAATTAAGTAGAGAAAATAAACTACCTTTGTTTTTATTCTTGACCATTCTCAAGAGGGAATAACTTGATATTGTCTGATCTAAGGTTTTAAAATAGCGAATTTGACTTCTCACAACATTAGTTTC